GCTCTCCCTCTCTCTCTTTCTATCTCTCTCTCTCTCTCCCTGCTCTTTTTCCCCCGTTTCGCTCCGATCTACATCTCCCACGTTCTTTCTCCTTACTTTTCCTTTTTCTCTTTCGGCAACGCGTTCACCATTCGCGCCCCTTTCTACCGATATTTTTATCTAACTCCGCGCAAGCCGCCTCTCCCCTCGCCGCGTGTCCTCCGACGGTTCTCCAAGCCCTGGCGTAGGAAAAGAAGAAGACGACAATCAATCACGCGCGCGTATCTCCACGTTTGTAGAATCAATCGGAAATCTCTATTAGGCGTCGGCTCGGCCGAGGACTCTCGCCTTTTTTCCTTACACTCCCGCGCTCCGTTACCGACCACTCGATCGATCCGCAGCCCCGATAACGCCACCCATTGTTGCTGTCGCAATTTGTTCGCGGCGGTTCACCCGCTCCGGGGCAAGCCGGGGAATTGTTGGCGGCGGTGGATCGTTTGCGGAGCCTCGTGCGTGCGGCATGTTATAGGCGATTCCGTTGGAATCAATTAAATGTGTAGTGTTCGTAATAACGAGATCCTTGTTGTTTTATGAAATTGATGTTATTATTCTTATCTTTGATATTTCGTGGTGGCTGCTAAAATGTGTTCTTCCATTCAGATCTTGAAACAAACGCTTTCGAATAAAGTTCATTATTATTATAACACAACATGTTTATATTAATTAGTAATAAATTAATATATTAATTAATATCAAGCATTAATCCTGTGTACAAATGAATTATTTAATTACTCGAATAACCAGAGATTGATATGCAGTGTTCCTTTTGTATTGTTTAAGACTTCGAATACACAATTCAGATTTTTATAGAAAGAGTTTCCAAAGTTTAATAAATCGCCTGTAAGCGGTCGATACACTGAATAAGTTAAATATTCTGCCAATATTTCCACGTCGATATTTCTATCTGGCAGCACGCGTGTGTTCGTTCAGCACGAAAAATGGACAGAGGAATACCGGTATATTGCAAGAAGCATTACCGGATACCCAAACAAAACGACAGTTTATTAATTGTCGGCTTTGCGAAGCGCTTTAGCCGCATAGTCGATGCGCGCAATGAAGGATCCGCGGTACATCCGAAAGAAAAACGGCAGCGTTTCGCCGACGAGCGAGCAAAAACAATGAGCAATCGGTCGTCCGGGGGTTATATCCCGCCTACGGTTCCGTTTTTCAGTGCATTTCTATTTATCGGTACCCTGGGACGCGTTGGTATAAGAGAGACGTGGGGAAAAACAGACAACGAAGCTGCGTGAACAACGACACAGAACGGAGGAAAGGGATAAAAGAAGAAACGGTATCACTGCGGTCGAAATGTTGACCCCTTGCCTTGTAATATCGTGTCAAACTCACGATAAAAATGTCTAACAAAGGTTCATGCGAATTTCAATTTTATAGAATATAATTAGGAAAATATAATTGAAATAAGAAATCACTTCCCCTAGTAAATAATATAAAAGGCAACATAATTCACAGATTTCGTATATTTCTTCGCGTTATGTGCATTCTGTGCAATTTTTCACTCCCAAATCCATAAATGCATAAATATCCACAGTCTAGTCGTTATCTTCATTCGCACTGAAATGAAGTGTTATTTTTCTATTATCAATTGTTAGTCTTAGAAATAAATTCCGATAAACGCGGAATTTCTTTTGTCCGAATAAATTATTAACGATAAAATTGTTTTAACGAGGCCAGTCGCGAAAGGAATCATAGGACAAGGAGTTAAACGAGAAATAGGTTGTGGAGAAAAGCCACGCGCGACAAAGGGCCACCAATAGGCCGGAATCGTTTGAATGGCAATTCCAATCGGTCCCAAATATGCGGAAAACGCGATACACCGGTGCAGCTCTATTACTTGTCCTACCCGGGGTACACGAAGAATTGCGTTTTCTAACCGGCTTAGCATCGTTCCGCACACTCGATCGTGGACGCCGAACACTACTGTAAACTAAATAGATTCGCTTGTCATTGGATTCTCTCTTTGTACGACTGTCGCGTTCCGCAATGAATCGACAAAGAATTTAATCCGATCCGTCCAGTCGAGGCTATACCCCGAGGCTTTTGTTTGAATGCATGGCGTGATATTTGCTGATGCTCCTAATAATAAGGCTGGAATGAAAGCGCTGCGCCGTACGTTTAATTCCAAAAATGAATTATATTTAATTAGACGCGTTCGGTCGAATGAGACTGCTCGCTCCAATTTAGTTTTAATGAGACGGGTGGGACATTATTTAGCAGTGCGCGCGCGACGCTGTTAATTGTAATCCGTAGTGATGTAGTTCCCTTTACAGTTTATTTAAGAGATTCGACTTAATCAGACGTGGATATTCCTCATGCATTGGTAATTTTATATTGACCCTTTATTTGAATAAAGTAAAGAATAAAAGAAATTTAATAGAATTATATGAAATACTCTGTATAATTAGAAAATTATAAAACTCAATTGAAAACAGTATATGATCGCTAAAAATAGGTAAAAATCGGTAATAACAGCTTGCCTTCGGAAAATTGAGTTTCTTATCATTTTGAAAGAAATGAAATAAATTTAGCGCTTAATTTGACAAGTGAAACTAATCCATGATTGATTAAATGAGAGGAGTAGATCTGTATTTAATCCGGTAAGTAGAACAAAATTGTCACGCGGAGCAAATCTATATTTACCAAATTGAATAAACCGAATCAGTCGATATTAAAGTAAATTTCCTCCTTGGTTGACCTTTTATTAAATAAGGACAAAGAGCGTCATACTTGGACGAAGAAATTGAATTGCGATTGTCTAGTAATAGACACGGATAGTAGGTGTACACTTTGTTACAAAAAAGTGTTACCTTACTTCGAGTGCAGAGAATGCCCCACATTTTTCCATGCGCCTAGCCTCGGTTCCCTTATGCAACACTTGCATCGAGTATTCTGTCCCGTAATGACCCGCTTTGGGCACGGCTGTTTAAACTCATTTTCTAACCGTTCCGTGTTTCGTTCCAGGTCAAGTAGATCTTTGGACACAAACGACGAAAGGCTGCGCCTGCAGTTTTAATTCATCCAGCAACGAATGCGCGTGCTGCGTCCCATCCGGAGGATGCAGCTGTGGCGCAGCGTCGCCGGACAGATGCGCTCAGTGCGGACTGGAGAAACACTGCGGCAACAGTAAGCATTACCATTACCTTTCATCATCATTCGTCTTAATATTCGCCGTGTCAAATTAAAGAGGGCCGCGTACACTTCCGCGTGGACGGTGTTAATTACGAACATCCATGCAATCATTCCAATATAATATCTCGCAATTTCTCTTTATTAGAGAGATATAATCTTTTCAACTTGAAGTATCTCATAACGGATTTAGAATAATCTAATATTCATAACTCGATAGACGTTACTTTCCCTTTAAAACAATAACGATTTGAACATAGAAATTTCTTTGAAGAAGAAATATGAATCGCGATGATTGATATTAAAAACTTTTATTCTTTATTATAGTAGTGCATTTAAAAACAGTACTCTCTAATTAAAAATAGAACTACCGAGTATTTAATACGATTAATATGTAATCCCTATAAAAATTGTAACAGTAGATTATTTTCAGTTTCTTCAGACATTTATTATAGTATTCAAATGAAATTACTTATTTTCAAGATCATTTCAAACATTGAATGCTTTTAGAATATCAATAATTGCTAAACAGATTGAAACTAGTCATATTGACTGATGCGGTACTTCTAGTGTTAATAATAAAACTTGGATGTTCATATTATGAGAAATGTAGTTACAGATGAACTTTACTATCTTCTTTGCAATTGCATTAATACAAATATCACCGATTTCAAAATACATATACCCACATCCCATCGCTACATTTCCTCGTTGATCAATCCTAACCTGTAACAAGAGGAAGATTCTCGGATTCGATTCCTGATTCGATTCTTTCCCCCCACACATCTCCTCATGTCTTTTCCCAGCACCTAGAGCTACAACTTCCAGTTAGTCTTTTCAATGTCAAACTCGTTAGCGATCCGACTAGCAGTTAGAGGGCACCATTCCCGTTTACCTCCCGCCCGCCCAGCCAATCGTCTAATTCGAGTATTTACTTCCATCCAACGCGGAACGTAATTACGTCACTCCGAAAAGGCAACCACTATCCCTTTGAATTCGTGTCGTCATTAGAAACAAGATTTGCCCCATTAAGCCGCCATATCCTATCTATTCTACCCTTCTTACGCCACACCTGCCCTGTCTGTGTTAGTCGCGTTCCGCGAACAAGTAGAAATTAGAGCTTCTTTGGAAGCGAATGGCTGAGCAATTCCCCAGAGAACCTGCTCAGGTAGCCTGAAAACAGACCAAGAAAAAGAGCTCTGGGGGAGAGCGAAGAAATCTTTCATAGTGGAGGGGATGAATAATTTCCGAAGTTACTCTGGCAACGCTTATGAAACCGTTCGCGAAAGCAGAGAATTTTCTTTCGGATGTTTACAGATGACACCTCTGGCTACTGGGGATAACATATAAATCCCGTCGCCGAAATTGCTACCCTCTTCTTTCCCCATAACTGATTACGACACGCCCGTTCCTTCAACCAGTCATTCGTCTACCCCTCCTGTTCGTTAATTACAGCCGACATTATTGCCCTTTCGTTTCATCAATCAAACCGTTCTTTCTCTATGCTTCTTACACGCGTGGATAAAAAGCCTACTGGTCGCTTAATTATGGTTGCCACATTAATAGCGGGTCAGTTTTGTGTTCATATTAGGCGCGGCTGATTTGATTTCTTAAGCTTGCCATTATTATTTGGTTTGTCTGTTTATTGTAGTCGAACTGAATATGTTGAGAGAAAAGAATATTTTTTAATTTGAAGCCTTGTTCTTGAGAAACTGGAGTCTGAACATTTATAAATTGTGCTAATTCTGTGATGAGTAGTAATTATTAAATATTCTTTCTTTTTGGGACATAAGAAGTTACCAGAAATTAAGAATTGAAAAATAATCGCGTTATAAACTCTTTCAACGATTGAAATGACTCTAATCTTACCTGCCTTAAAAGTGAACGCGGTTGTTTATTACTTGCTGTTTCTACTTGTTACAAGTAGAACGTACAAACGCAAGAGTATTAAACCAATCTGCAATGTTCAGTCTTTTAAATACCAAGTCTTATAAAACCCGTTCTATAATATTTTCACATTACAGAAACGTCCAATATAAAAACATTCTCATAAACCAATATGTTACACCTATAGAAAAATATCGATTAACTCCAAACCTAAGAAATCAGCGAAATAATAAAACCACATGAAGATTCGTGTTAGAATTTGTATTACTGTATTAAATCAAACCAATTCGTATAAAAAGAGGAAAAAATGATATCGAATAAAAGCCTCCTGAGAAAAGTTTTTGTAAATACAGAATTGATTTTATAAGTAAATTGTCTTTATTATTTTCAGCTTACATTTCCGTGTACACTTGCGAGAACCATGCACGGTCATGGTAGGAACGAATGGTTTGCGGTATGTACGTTCACCGATCGCCCGTTTATCTGTTCCAGTGTGCAATATAACGCTGGACAGCAAGCAGTTATTCAGCAAATCGGATCGCGGTTTCGGACAAATAAAGTCGCCGTCTCTTGAAGGACCCTCGAGGTGTATGTACAGATTCGTGCCGGACACTGGCCAGCGAGTCGAGATACAAATCTATCGACTGATCTCCATCGGACAACACAACGGCATCGCGTAAGTGGCTTTTGCATTTTGCTACGCGCTACTACTCTACCTGTGCTGCCCCGCCCTCTGTGACGGTACTGCTCAAAGTACTTTGAGGATAGTTCGCGTAGACGTTACTCGGTTCACCGATGAACTTGATTACTTTATGGTTCTTGATCATTGAACGGCAGAATTTGCGTACTCGCCAGGCACAGTAGCGGACAGACGATGATATGTGAGATATCGGCAAATCAATGACTCTACTACAATGGTTTCTCGATACGTTTTAACAATATCGATGTTAACCCCTTGCCGCACTTAAACAAACTTGACTCGTGATAAAAATTTTGGACGAAACATAAATATCACGAGTCTGACTCGAGGTGGCAACACGAGTGAGATATCGGTCGCTGTAATTATGGGACGGATTTTGCCCTGTTAAATGTTATGCCAAGGGGTTAACATACAATGCAAACGAATGTAAAAGGACAAAGTTGATACACCGCAATTTACTTGCTAATTTCAGCGAGAATTTATAACATTGTAATTACACGAATGGCTGGTTCACAATATACCGGAAGGTAGTTCGATTACACGCAAAGCAGCAAACAAGGAAATGTATTATTCGACACTGTCGTGTTTATCAACAAATTTGGTCACGAGAATTTGTCTTTAATTTGTTAAAGTATGCTACAATAACATTTCCTTTATTTTTGTTTAAGAACTCAATAGCCAGTGCTCAAATAAGCATCAGTGAAACCGTAAAATCGAATCGAATCTATCAATTGTCAGATTATTCGAACAGGTGAATGAAATTGTTCAAAAACGAATTATGGGAAACATGAAAACATTACCGGTTCTGTATTTCTTGAATATAATTCTCAAACTTCGACATCTACAATCGGTCACGCGTAACGCGTTTGCATAAAATCGCGCCGCGTTGCGTGTGTTTCAACGGTAAAAGAATCGAGCGTTTTCGCATTTAGTTAATTAATTGAAACGGTGAATATGGGGAAGAATATTATCGGCGGACAGTGTTATAACAATATTTGCCGGACGCGGACGCACCGATAATTTGTACCGTTAATGTAAAACTGTATTGACCGCGTTGGTCCCTGCGTGTATCGCCGCTAAAACAGATCCACATTGATTGGCCACCGGCCCGGTATTAATCAGAAGTGTTTTTAATCACCTCAGGCAGACATATCGGCTCCTACTATTTTGTTTCATACTTTTAATTGAATTAGCTTGTCGCGCCGAAACGTATTCCGTCGGCCTGAAAATTGTTATTACAATAAATTTCTGCGCCGCGGTGTTCGTGCTGCGGTGCATTTTTCATACGCGGAACAATACATTTCGTTTGTCACTTCAAACGGAAATCACAGGGGAAAAACAACAGTTGACGTCAAGCTGTTGAAACATCGTCATTCGTAGGGGTTCAATTTTGTTTAACGAGCTAACGAAAGAGCGAAATTGATTGCCAAATGCTCGCTACGAAACTATTAATCTTTTAATAAAGTGTTAACATTTGTTATTCCATTAATCGTGATTTTTACACAGTTATTGTCAGGTAACGTCCGCAATGAAAACGGGAATACAGTAGAACACCTAATAATTCTAAAATAAAATACTAATAAATGCAGTGTATATGCAATATATTAAATATAGCATTCCAAACTTGAAAAATCTGTCTCAAATATTTGAAAATCATCATCATAACTTAAAAAAGAAACAGTCTCAACTTGATATTATTAATTTAAGTTTATTCTGACTATTAAATATCCACAAAAAAATATCTATATTTATCGATACTACTTAAGCTAAAAAATAACAGTACTCATATTTAATCAATCTAGTTTAAAATCTCCACCCCCAATTCTACCTCAACAATACATCAATATGATCTACAAAATTATTTAGTTCACACGTAAACTACTTAATAATGAAATCAACACGTACACAAGTTATAATAAACACATCAGTAATAAAACATTTAGGCAAGTTGGGACCTGTAAAGGAGATAAAATTATTATTACGGTCTGCAAAAGACAACCCCAACATGATATGGCACGCATTACACAGCACAAATACACTTGGAACCGCATATTGTCCCTTTATGTCCGATCATGGGCAAGGTTTACCGCGCGTGTCCCCGGTTTGCACACTCGAAAGTGAAGTTAAACGGTGGCTTATAGGAGTCGGCATGATTGGAGATCGCTTATGTCGATGGCCGTTTCAATTTGTCATACTTCCGCCCTTTACCGGTCCACCACCACCACCATCGCACTTAAGTCCCTCTTCAACGTGTGCGACGCGATGGGATGGGACGCGGTGCGGCGCGGAACGGTCTTCGAAAGAAAAATTACTGTTTCTAGAAGCGTCTCTCTCCCCACCACGTTCCGTCTTTTCTACGCTCGGACGTAGTAGTAGCGAACGAAGTTCACAGCGACCGGGAATGGCCTTCGACAAGCCTCACGAAAGTTCTTACAATTTTTCGACAAAACCCACCTCCCCGGTTCACCATTCTTGGACCTTTTCTCGTCTCGCGCAACCTATAAGTAGAGCTTAGAAACGCGAACGCGCGAAGCGTCCCAGGCACGGTTACTTTAGCACTTTCCCTTCATCACATTTGGACAGGGCGCGCACGATAATGTGCTTCAAATGCATTTACGGTGTTCAATTACTTCCTTCGTTTCCTTCTCTTCCTATTTCCATCGCGAATGGAGAGATTTTGGGTAAACGGAATTTAAAAGAGATGTGGAGAGTTAAGGAAGTGTTCGTGGAAATGCTGATGGGTGTTTGAACGATTGAAGGAATTGGAAATGATGAGAGTATGATGGTATTTGGATCATTGGGATGTTTGAAAATATGTCTGGAGTAGTCATTATTGTTGTTGTTATAACTCTCGTATAAATGAAGTAGGTAATTGGGAATTAGTTCGCCTGTTATCGGTTCTTGAATTCCGTTAAACATAGTTATTAAGAAAATTAGTTTTCAATTTAAAAAGTATGACATGAAAAATTGAAAATCGAAGTTGGTCATGTTTTCCTGTGGACGGTTCGTGTTGTAAATATGAATTCTCGTCGCTTTACATCGCGGGTCATCATACTCACAAATTGGAGTGGTTCGATGATTCAGATGGTGTTTAAATAACAATTCAATATACGTCGATGGTAAAAAATGACCAAAAACAATATGAAAGCAAAATTGAACGCAAACATGGAAATGCCAGAAATGTGCGATGTAGCTTAACAGAATTTTCGTACGTTGACGAACCATTTCATTTTTTCCAAACATTTAACTGAAAAATAGCATAACCATCCTACAACTCGAAAAACAATACAAAATAGCTGGAGGATACAATAAATTGATCTTGTATGTTTCATGAAATTTTCAATTAATTTTATTGCGAGCTGTTTCCGCAACAAGATGAATATAAATTAAAATAAGTATAATAGATAACGTAGAAATCACAGTTTTCTGACTTCATCTCAGAAATGTTCGATTTTATTTGAGAAATGCAAACTGTTCAGTAACTGGCGACCCAACAAAAAACGACACGGGTCTAATAAACTCTCTAATAAACCTCGAAGATCTCGTTTTCGATCAAATTAAAAACGAACATCCGCATATTCAGAAATAAAGATAATTATTTATCACATTTATTCCAACATAATCTCATTTCTCTCTCGCGTTCCCACTTTTCCGTGGAATACTCCGACATTTCCCCGTTTCTGTTTCACTAATTGTTTCCGCATCGCGACGAGAATTGTGCGCTAGCGGCAGTCTTTGCAACAAACTTCGCTGTTTATATTTCGTCTAACCCGCGCGACGCGAAATCGTTCGCACGGGCGAGGCGTTTTCCGCGCGACGGGACAAATAAACGTTCCGGTTTTTTACGTCGCACTCGCTTGGTCACGAAATTTCAAGCTGCGAAAACACGATACGTGCCACAAGACACAGGGAGACGGCTCGCGGCGGAAACGAACGCACCGCGGCGAAAGTAAAAATAATCGTCCGCG